GAGAAAACATATATAGCCGCGCGCGCGCGCGCGCGTTAACGTAAAAAGGCATTCGTAAAGCAGGTAACCGCGCGGACTCTCTTGGCGGGATAGCAGCCGGAGCCTTTCATTCCAAGTCCGAGATCCGAGGGCGAGCTAATCGATTTGAAATTGGGCCCGTGACGGTCTTCTTTGGCGTACCTCGTGCTCGTTCAATTTATTTGGTGGCTCCGACCACCCCGGCGTAGCTGGGGCCTCCGCATTGTTCGTAACGGACACCGAACAACAGTGCCCCGCACTTTTTTTACACGGCATCGAAGACGAATCACCGCCGTCACGGTACTCGCGCGTACCGAAATATCTTTTGTCGTTCGCAAAATTGAAAACGTCCGTAAACTGACGTAAGCGACGTCGACTGCGCAACACTCTTTCTCTTTCTCTCTCCCTCTCTGTCTCCACCCTCTGCTCCCCCATCCCGCTCTCCTTTCCCTCAGCAAACTACATTTTATGAAATTAATCGCAGTTTGTCTTTTCCCTTTTTTTCTTCGTGTTTCGGAAGAAAGATATTTTTTTTGTCTCTCTCTCTTTTTTTTATGTGGAAAAGAGAAAGAGATACAAAAAGGAGGAGAAAGAGTGGCGGAGGGAAGAAGGGGAGAGAGAGGTCGTTCCTCGGGTCGACCACAATCGGCCAAATTAGTCGGGTTTCCACGGGGTGTGGCTTGGGTTAGTTACGCTTTAGGTGTCGGATGGGTTGGAGAAACAATTTGTTTGTTCTGTTAGCGGCGCGCCACGCTAATGACACGTTACGTCAGCAACGCGATCGAGAGGGACAAAGTACGGACCCGAGTATCCCGAGTAATCCGAGTAGCCCTGAGAGTCGTTCTCGGGAACAAGAATTAATTGCGTTAATCTCGTGTTTTACGAGCGACCTGGTACGTATCACCGTCGGTCGTGTATAGATATCGTATACGGACGGACGATGGAGAAGATGCGCGCGCGAGCGCGCCTGAAATTCTCAAAGATATTTTAAGGATTCCGAGAGCGTCGTAAAACTCTTCGCTCCACCGCCGGCAAAAGATCGAACGTTGGCGAAGAAGAAGAAGGAGAAGACGAAGAAGAAGAAGAAGAAGAAGAAGAAGAAGAAGAAGAAGAAGAAGAAGAAGAAAGGCGCCCGCGAAAGTGATGGCCGGTCGTTAAAGATCGGCTCTCTCGCGCGTGATGCCGCTTCGCCCGGTTGCGAGAGTGGACGGAACGGACGGCTGTCTTACATTTATATCTTGTAATCGGGGTTTACACACATGTCACGTCGAGCTCACCACACAAATCCATATAATATCAATGTCACAACGAAACAACCCGCATTGTCGTTCGAGCGTTATTTTTTTTTTTTGCGTTTAATCAGTGTAACGCAATTATACGCGCATGGAGTCTCGCTCCGTTATACTTGTACAATTAGTTTCTTATTGTGTGTGATGACGTAGGCTGTTGCGTTAAAAAAATGAAAGGAGCAGGTGAAGGACACCCCTATGAAGGATGACATAAAACTGTTACGTTTTAGTTTAGATAGTCCTAGATGTAAGAAAGCCCTGACGTGACATCGATATCACCGCGTAACGCGAATCGATCTTATATATACATTTGTTCGTCACGATCGACATTCATAGGCGGGAAACGAGAAACAACTGCGTATTTCGCTACCGAACGTAAAACGATAACGTTACGTTGCACCTGCGGTGTTTCCACGGAGGGATGTCCCTCCTCCGTGTCGCAAAAGTTTTTAGCTAACATCCAAGTGATCCGCGCGAGTTTGTACTATATGTACGCGAAATTCCGTATGCGGTAACTTTATTTATACAGGGAATGCGCCGCGTGCGTTCGTATTCACTGGACGCTAACAATAAATAGAAGCGTAGTCCGAATGCCAGAAGAAGAGGCGGTAACCTACCATTATCGTGTGCTCCGACGTCCTCGCGTCGTAGCGTTTAGTCACGCGAACCTTCGCTCCCTTGCAGCCCCTCGGAGGGGTGAAGCGGCTGGGAGGGCGCAGGGAAAAAGCGAAAACGACGTACGAAAGTAATAACGCGCGCCAATTAGTTACGAGAGAAGTAGACAAAAACGCGATGTTCGTTTCGTCGCTCGTTCGATTCGTTCCTCCCTCGTTGTCCCTCTGTCCCTCGAGCTCGCTCGGCCGACTTGCACGGCGGAATGGTACTCGCGCGACGGACGTTTCACTTTTCGAGAGCGATTGATTTCCAGCAAAATTAGCAAAGACCAAGGGCGCGAGATCGAAGTGGACGAGAGCTCGATGGCGAGGGAGAGGGAAGGGGGAGAGAAAGAGAAAGAGAGGGAGAAAAGGATAAAGCAAGCGAGGGGAGAGAGAGAGAGAGAGAGAGAGAGAGAAGGGAGAGAGGAAGGTGGAAAAAGACGGAGCTAACTCGTAGGTTCGGGGCGGAGCACGTCCCTCGCCGGAGCACAAAGCGGCCTGAGGTATAAATTGGTTTGTTTGCCGCGGAGATGAAAGGGGCCGCTAAATGCTATCTTTAAGGTGTCGGATCAACGCAAATGTGGCTGAGTTACTCGTAATTATAGGATACTCGGAGCTCGGACCTACGCTCGGAGCTCGTCCGTTCGCTCTCCGCCGCGCCGCTCGCTCGGCCGCCTGCCTGCCTGTCCGCCTGCTCCCCCCTGCATCCCCCGCCTGTTCACCCTGGGTTCGCTAGCTCGCCTGTCTGGTCTTTCCCCAGGCTGCCTCGTTGCCGCGGCTCACACTGGCGCGCTTCTCGGTGGACCGCTCCGATTCACTCTCCTCGCATCGCTTTCGATTCACACGATCCGAACCGCGCGATTAGGCACCAATTAGAACAAATCTTCGGCTGCTTGTGTTCGCGATCGAGAACGCATATTTGATCTTATAATAACGCCTGCAGAGCGGCACGTACACATTTCTCGCCTTCCGTACTATTCACATTTAACTTTTTAAGTTTGTAATTCGTCGTGCAAATATGCATTTTTCAATACATTTTCGAATACAATGTAAAAAACGAAAATGTTCTTTACAAGCCAAATGGAGACGGGGAGTGAAGAAAAGGGGAGGAAAAGAAAGAGAACGTTGTTAGTTTAAAAGTCTGCAGGTTTCACGATCGGCCTTCTCAGAAGGGTGACCTAATTATCCTCTCGCGCGCGCGTCGCGCTTTTGAAATTTTTTAAAAATAAATAAATTGTCTTTTATCGTACAATCGTACTATCGGAATTGTTCGAAAAAACGATAGATGTCGGATCATCCGAGTGTAATATGCATCAGGTTTATCGTAAAACCTCGCACGGAACTTTGGCACTCTAGGTAGTTATTAGCCAATGAGAAACGGACCGTTCGTTGCGGTAGCGCGTCGCGTCTCTCTGGAGCTAGAAAATACTGCTCTCACGCAGCGGTTCTCTTTTTCTCTCGACTCACTCACGTTACATTATCGTTATTTCCGCGAAGGTAACAGCGCGAGAACCCTACGCCATTGACGATGCTCTTTATCTCACTGTTTCCGACGAGAGAGATGCTTCTCTCCTGCACGGAGAATCTCGAAGGAGACGAGCGCCGAGCGTATACCGTGCGCGGGGCTGCGCGAGGAGAGAGAAGCGGCCGACATATTATAGTACAAAATAATAATTCATAAATTATACGCGCCACGTCCGTTTAGTGCGGTGGCTCTCCGCGGCTTAAGTATACAGCTCACTGCACGCGAACGAGACGGGGACGAGACGGGGGCTGCAGAGAGTGGCAGACGAGAAGGGAGCGGGCGCGGCGGGACGGAATGGGGTGAGATGGGACGCATACGGGACGAAATGGGACGAAGGCTGGAAAATAGGCGCAAGAACTAATCTGCGTTCGAGCGGTAGATAGCAGTCAATCAGAGCCGCGAATCAATTGTATCGGAGCGCGGCGCGGCGCGGCGCGGCGCGGCGGTACGATAATCGGAGCGACACATCGACATGCAAGAGCAACGACTTACATGACGTGCGAGCGGCCGCGCGCGCGCACGGCGGCTTTCATCCCGTGTAACGCCGTAACCGGTAGCGTGCCCGTTGCCCATGTGTAATTTGCATTAATTATCTTCAAACCTCTCCGCACGCCGTTTGCCGTGAGCACACGATGAGGCTCCGAGATACGGAAAACGATGTATCGCGTATGCAAATAAAGAGGAGAGGAGATGAAATACGAGTCGAAATGCGAGATGCGTTTCGAGAGGCGAAAAGTGAAAACGCGGAACATCGAGATAGAGACGACAATGGAAATAATTTCCTGAAATATTGAATATTTTACGTTCCTGTCTCTGTATCGCCGCCGCGCGGTTTCCTTCGCAAGACTCTTGTAATATATTTACTATATACTAAAACTGTAATTATCTGGGATATTTTAACGATCGAGAGAATTATTATTCGAAAGATTTACTTGATTCCAAATATTCGAATAATCTAAATCTCAAACATCTATAAAGTAAACATTGAAAAATCGAGGCTGCGAATTCAAATCGGAGATTGTTTTAATTTGAATATGAGTTTACACGTAAGTAAATGGTTCAATATTTATAGTAGATCGTTTGTGATATATGTAATATGTAATAATTATCTAGCTATTATTTATTCACATATTGTCCTACACAGTAATATTCATCTTTTGTATAGTGAGATCAATGAGAAAAGAGAGATATGTTTTATGTTTCCCGATCTCGTGGATTAAATTTCAGTATTACGAGCATAAGTGCACGAGAAACCGCATGCCTCTTTCGCGTCGGGGCTCCGCGTTCTTACGTATATATAAAACGCGTTAAACTACGTGTCCGTCTGGATACACGTTAAGGACATAAACGTGTATCGATTATCGTTCCAACGTACATATACACGCGGTTCTTCGTCCCGCGATCGTCCATGTTGCTTCGAATGTTACGTACCTATCGTGCGCGCGTTACGTGCGCTCTATGGTAAGATGAAGAAGAAGCACAAAGGAGAAAGAGAGAGAAGAGGTTAACTCACCCGCGTGCTGTTGGTTGTGTAGTAGCGTCGAGTCGAGTTAGGTTGTGAGTGAGACGAGACGAGACGAGACGAGACGAGACGGGACGTGGCGAGGCGAGACGAGACGAGGCGAGGCGAGGCGACTCATCACGCTTGTTTTCCGCCTGCCCGCGATTAGCGAGAGTCATCCTGGGAGGCCCGTTCGTCTTTCGCACCTTTCGCGTATCCTTTCGAAACGGTTTCTTCGCACCTCCGCGTCAGCGAACAAGGCGCGGAAGGGGTGGGGAGGCGAACTTGGACGAGAAGGAAAATTTGCGAGCGACCGACAAGAACGGAAAAATCATTCGGTAAGTCAGCGCCCGCGGGCGGCACCGTTCGTGTATTTGTGCGAATTTTCGTTTCCTTTAAAGAAATATACATAAACGACGCGGTTTATTTCGTTTTGAGATACACATACAGCCGCACGCTTTACCCGTCCGATTTCGATTCTTTTAATTGTGTTTTAATAGTACTACTGCAAGGATGTAGTACATACGTACGCACTATTCGATGTAAAGTACCTAGCAATAACTTGAAATCGAGAAAAATCGACATTCTTCGTACTTGATCGTCACATTTCGTGTATATTCGGAAGAATCGGAAGCTAGTTTGAATATTGCCGGAGCAAAATACGCGGCGCGCGGGCGGCGAAAGTGATGCGTAGACTCCCTAGAATCTAGAATATATTCTAGGGAATCTAGTGGTGCGTGGGGGTGTGATAATGGTGTGGGAAAAGTGTTTATGTCGCGAGTTCGCGACAGTCGCGCGAGGCTTTGTTTACAAATATTTCAATCCAAATATAGTCGAGTGACGCGACAACACGCGTCAGCGATAGCCATTCAAGAAACGTATTCGCGTAAATATTTAGTGTTCGCGACGCTCCATGCTCCGACGAGACATGACAAAAGTGGAAATCGCGATTTCGCGCATTTACATTTTAAGTATATTAACCTCTATAGTCATATATGTATGTGCTCAAGGTGAGTTGATCTCGATGGACGTAAGTCATATCGAACAAATTTGAAAGTCGGCAACCTTTAATTCACAATGCGCATTTTATTGTTAGTACAATAAATGCATTGTAAAGTGCACCGATCTTGTATTTAATTTTATTTGGATAAGGAGAGTCGGACATTAGAATCACCTGTGATGACGAATCCTCCTTCGAAAGTTGTGTGTGACTTTCTTGCGATTAAAAGACAATCAAATGATGAAACAACTTTAGTTGAGAGATTAAAAGCAACATTCGCGTCGTTCTAATTGCTCTCTTTCAGGTCGACATTACGTCCATCCTTACGTTCGATTCGTCGTGCACGTGCGTTAATTGGCTGTCTACCGGCGAACTAATAACACTTCTTAAGGAAAAAGAAACGATTCGTCATGCCTTGAGAAATTTTTTGACACATGTAATATCGCTCGTAATAACGGAGTTCGTAATTAGAATAGCGCGTTACTTTCCATTCTTGATTGAAAGTGTAATTAATTATATATTAATATTCATGGATCCCATGCACGCTTCGTATATCTTTGTTTTACATATCGCTCAATCTTTATTTGATTCTGCGTTAAGCACGTTAATTACAACTGCTTAATATAATGAGCAAACTGCAATAAAATTAAATGACAGGCACGAGCAAAATAATTAGCGGTGAACACACATGCGACACAGAAACGCGTGCGCGAAACTTGTCTGTATATCCTTTTGTTGTACGTGTCCACATCCATAAATTACGAGTAACTGTTTAAAATTTATTTATTGTTTGGACGAATAACTGTTACATCCTTCAGATTCTTAACTCTGATATTTGTTCAACTATTTTGACGAGAGAATTTGCATTAAGCTAAAAATATCTTGTTTACACGTGAACGTTTCTGTTGTAACTATTTTTACTTGTATTTCTATTTTTTCAAATAATTATTGAGGTTATTTTAAACTATGTTATTTTATTTTATACTACTTGTTAGATTAGACTAGATTAGAACTTGCTTTCAACATTTATTAAATTACTAATTTTAAACTGAATTTTTACCTATAGGTATATATTTTTTAAATATATATTCATACTCATAGATTTTTGTAACATATTGGTTGTTCATAAAATAATAATCGTGATTATGAACATTGCTTAAGATACATCCTTGTTCTATTTCCATAACTTTAAAGAACGAGAAACAAAAATTATTACGTTGTTTCTTGTAAATAATACTCTACTAATTATACGTATTTCTCACTTAAGAAGCATGAATTTATTTTCATATTTCTTCCTTTTCGCAGTGCTTTTACATTAACATTCGTACTTGCATTCACACATTTATCTTTTAATTCTTTATTACATGCTATGTACTTAATTTCAACGTGATTTATTGTAGAAAGAAATTTATGTGAAAAATAAGAGATACACATCACGAATATCTACAAATTACCTACCATCTAAAACTAAAATGAGAAAAAAAAACGCGTTTTTTCAACTATAAAATTCAACGTGTGTTCTTTTAAATGATACGAAACGAATATCTCCCGAAAATGTTTAGGTATCAGTAGTAAAGCGTGATTTAATTGTTTATTATGTTTGTTAAAGGCAGCATAATGCAATAAACGGTTAAATAATGATACAATCGATTATGTTTTTCAGCGCCAATGATCGTCGGGTGTGACGTATAGCAATGTATAGGCATCGTTCCGACGGACACAGCCGACCGACGGAGGAACGTAAGTTACTTTGTTTTCACTTGTGCAGTAATTCTGCTGTTGTTCATAATTTGAATTTTGACGATATCTATGTTTATAAAAAAAAATTAAGTCTGTTTTATGCGTCATTATTTTATGCTTTTTAACGTAGATTATATTTTTGTGAATTATTTTTAATAATTTAGATAAGTTACATTAAAATCGGTTGATTAATACTTATTGAATTATTTTTTACCGCTGATTTTTGTAATATTTTCTATATATTATTACAAAACGAAAACGACACATTTTATTTGTCGTTTATCTTACAGTTACATATTTGCATATGCAAAGTTAAATTTCTTATAATCTTATGATACAAATTTCTATGGAAAAAGGCAATTATTGTGTACTAATGCGTAAAGATATCTTTCTACTGAATTACGCTTTTCTGACATATTGATATCGCTTCATGTCACAATACGCAAGTTTCTCATTATGTAAAACTTTCCGTGCTGTGACTTTAATTTTGATGGGTAGAATGGTCTTTATTTCGCTGGAAAGTTTCTATTTCACAACTTGATTAGTCTTTATTCTTGACTCCTTAATTACAAGCCGTATATTTATGGGCCCATCTTATTGCATGTAAATCCCATTTTAAATGATCTGTAATTTACGAATAAAATTCACAATATCTACAATTTTCTGTCTATTATTATATATGTCAAATCGTTGTGAATAATTGCGAAAAGATTCTTTACTAAATTTATACCAAATTTTTAATTTATATTATATTTTATTAATAATAACATATATATATATATATATATATACACATGTGTAACTAAATATTTTACCTGATTTTTTTATTTCTCAATTTTTTTCTCATTGTCTTTAAATTATAATTTTAAATCATATGCATTTATACATGGCAATTTAATAAAAATGTATTACAAGTAATATACATGTAGTTACTTAATCACCGCGGTTGATTATGATAATATCAACTTGCGATTATTTATTATCAGTTATTGATAATCAATGAATTTGGATGCTTTTATAGTTTGCTTATATATTCTGTTAAAAATGATATTTTTCTTTCTCAAGACTGAGGCATTATTATATTTCGAATTTAACAAAAATATTTATACTTTATGATATGTATAAGGCTATATGATTGCTTTGAATTTTATTGCGAAATCATAGATCATTTAAAGTTTAAAGTAGACTTAACGTTGGCGAGAAATGATGCATTCAAATGTATCCGAGTAACAATCGCGCGATGTTTGATTCGTTCGGCGCGACTCAAATGCGGTTTTTTCGAAGCCTCGTGTTCACTTTGCCTTCGCCGGTAGGTCCCCTATAAATACCAGAAACGCGCGTTTGCCCCGAAGGCGTTTTCGGCTGAAGAGTCCGAACAGAGCAACCGTAAAGGTCCTGGAACGTTAATTTATGGTCGACCGCCGCAATACTGGTAATCTAATTAGTTTAATGACCAAAAAATATTTCCCGAGTCTTTCTTAATCCGAGACAGGTAGCACCGACTCAGCGAACGCGTTCAATGTCAAAGCTTATCCGCGAAAGTATGTGCCTCGTGAAAGTTCTTTCGGCTTAATTTTAAACGGGCGACAAGGAAACTCAGTTTGATACGATTCATGTATCATTTCGACAGCTTGTTAACGACAATATTTTGCAATACGCCAGTAAAGAAAGTTTTTAACCCTAGAGTATTTTTTAGATAATTTTATCGAATGTTAATGACGATTCTGTTCTAGGAAAGTATCGCGGTATTTCAATATTTCAGCAAAGCATTCTTTCCAACTTTCATACTATATGTATACAGTGTGCTATTTCTGACAGTGTTCAAATTAAAAAAAAAAGAATATTAAAAATTATTGACACAAATTTTTAATTTAATAGCATTTTACATGATACTCGGTAATAATATTTTATTTTTAAATTTTACAAGTTGATTATATATAAACATTATAACTAAAGGTAGAAAAGTTTCTCACAGACAAATAAAGCTCTACGCTTTGAGCTTTGAAGCCATAAACCACGTAAATGCGTGGAGAATTCTAGGAAGATTGATGTAAAAGTGACGTATATAAATTTTGCTTATACTTATCACTAACAATTAATCGTTGGAATAAATAATAGATACGCCGTGGCGCGGCGCGGCGCGGCGCGGTGCAGCGTCGTTAGGCGGATACAGTTGAGCGGATCGTTTGAAAGAGCATACATACACGATCGTGAGTCAAGTGCGGTAACAATGTCGCGCGACAGTAAGGCCTCCCTTGATGCTTTACCGGTTGTTTCGTTATTGTCATTTAACCGGCTTACTCGCGCGGGTTGTTTCGCAAGGCGTTTTTGCTCGCGTGTCCGAAATTCCGCGCACCCTGCAACGTCGCGAAGACCGAGCGGCACGCGAAACCAGATGCGTCATCGCGAAACGGATAATTACGTCGCATTCGATAAAGGGTGACCACTTCCTCGAAACCTCCAATCATATTGTCGTCGCGTATCGTGGACTTGTCAAACCGACCGGCTGATGTAATACGCGCCACCACGAGAGTCGTCGTACGTGTCGGTGCGCGCGTAAAGAAAGCACCGGATGTGCGAGAGCACGTCCCCGACGTTCTTCCTACTGTCGTCGATACGCACTCGCCACGTTGTCACATTTTGTCGATCCTCTCAATTGGCGACTCCTTTTGGAGTAGCAGCGCACCTGCGAAGAGGCCTGCGAGCCGCGCGTCAAGTTCCTTCCGTTGCGAGCCGGCGCGGCGCGGCGTGCGACACACGAGCTACTTCCACTTGCAGGGACGCTTGAGACCGTTTTACTCTTTGGCAGCGCGATTACAAAGAGAACGCGTTACAATGGCGCCATATATGCCAATCGTGTTCAATTCATACCGAATACGCGTGTTATAATTATCACCGCTTCGACTCGCCCGCACAGAAGGAGAGATGGCCTGACGTAATTGCGAAGGCTATTAACGACCGGCCGGGAAACCGTGCGCACGTTGCGCGCGTGTTGCTATTACGACTCGCCGAGAGAGAGAGAGAGAGAGAGAGAGAGAGAGAGGCATAAAAAAAAGGTAAAAAAGAAACTATTACGAGAGCGCGAATAAATTGCGTGTGAAGGTGCGCCGTCGCTTCGCGCGTCGCTTCGGACGTCGTGAACGACGTGGACGTCGTCGTGAGGAGAGCTCAATTAAATCTGTAGGAGAATCGCGACGCCGGCTAAGGTCCACTTGGTCGGCTTGTCACGGGTCTTCAAATTGAACGTCCAGATGTACGTAGGGCCGCGCGTTCTCGTCCTGTAGATCGGACATTCGTACACGTTCTTCGTCTCCTGCTTGTCCTGCGTGATCGCCTTCACGAACACGACCGGCATCAGAAAGAGTAGCTCCTTCAGTCGCGAATCCGCGATGATACCGCTCGCGACCTCCCATCGCGCACCCTCCATGTATAAACCGTTGACGTAGGCGCCCTCGCGCGGCGGCACCCTAATCAGTAAAGCTCGTGTTATCGCCTTTATCTTCGCAGTTAACCCTTTGAGAGGACACATCGAATTTTCCCACGAAAATTTATTACATTAGCAACATATTGGCAACCTGTTGTTCCGATCACTTTTATATTACGTGAAAACAATTTACGTTTTTATATGTGATTTTGTACATTCGAAAAATGCCTGTCCCTAAAGGGTTAATTTCATGTCACCAAGTGCCGCCGAGTATCTTACGTAAGTTCCTCCTTCTGCTTTCTGGTTACGTCGCAATGCAGGCACATTTTGTCCAGGGGCCACTCGTTTTTACGAGCGGTTTGCTGCATGATGGCAGTAAGTAAGGACTGCGGATTGAAAAAACCACCCAGCCAGATCGACGATGGTAACTGCCGAAAGATGTGCACCGCGCAGAAATTAGATTGACCACAGTCGAAAGAAGGGAAGTCACATTTTAACGCAAAGTAAATGACAAACGTTTGCCAAGTCACTTTCTTCGATACTTGAAGCGTGACAAAATTTAAATTCTCTTTCCCACGCTTGCGAGCAAAATATATAACGCTGACTTAATCTAATTTCTTTTTGTAATATTTTATCTTCTCGCATATCGCGAATTGTCATTTTTCCTTTACTTACATTAAAATCTGCCGTCCAATTTGATAGTTCGGTAATTCGATTGAGCAGATCCGCGACCCAACTCGACAATCCGAGGGTGGAGGGATAGGCGCATTTGGTCCAGGATGGTGGCACAGAATCCATGAACAAGTGATTTTGCAGATCCTCCATATCCGCGCTAATCGTGAGCTCGCCCTAAAATGGATTTGAGATTAGATTTACCGCATTTTACAAATTCGGCAAATTTTCATCACGGTACTCTCTGCACCTTTAAACCAAGATCTAGTTCTTCCAGAGATCTTTTCAGTTCCTTGCACAGCACGTTCATGTGTTCGCATTCTTGGAGAGCAACTATTACGAAAGGAGTACGATCTTCCGTCTATAGGGAGAATCAAGTTGTCTATTGGTTATTTTATTTATTACCGTAAAAAATTAAGTTTAATGTCAACGTTGTGTCTTGTGATGATATAAAGATAAAGAAAACGGAATTAAAATTCGTGCGTTTAAAGTGGCAATAAACCAAGTCGAGGATATGAAACGTTACGACTGATATCACAAAGATCACAAACAGAATTATATACATGGGAATAATCGCGATATATTTCAATGATATATAATCGATAGATATAATTTCTTTGCGTAATTTTATAATAGTTTGAGTATGTAATTGTTAACAATTGCTGCTTAGGTTTGTTATTCGAAGAATATTTTAATATCATGCTTACTCCAAAAGTTCTTTTTCTCAGCTTTAAAATTTAGTAATTTAGATAATTTTCATAACGGTTATCTGAATATTTAATAATAGCCATTAACCTTGCTCATCAACTCTTGTATATCAAACTCTTCAGGAAGCTTGTCCAATGTATCCTCTATTATAGTTTTCACCTTGTCCTCTTTCGATAATATTCCGGCTGCGGCGTCGATGCTATCCCGTGGTTGCATCCCCCAGATTGTTTTAAATAAGTTCTCCGCTGTGCTTGTGAGAAATCCTGCATAAACAAGTTTGAGCGAAATTTGTTGCGTTTTAATGCGAATATCAATTAAGAAAAAATGACGGATTAACGATCAAACTATTATTGAGAAATTTTACCGATCTCCGCGTTCGGGTGAAGCCCGTACAGGATGGGGCTCTCCGGCGGCAAATAATCTTCCACATACCGATGATAGCCCGTGTAATCGGTACTGGGTGGCACCAGGAAACCCGGAGCTAAATATAATTCACCTTCAACCAACTCTGGTTGCAGGTACTCTAAGAGATATGTTCGACATAGTCTTCTGTCCCAATCGTCGGTTATATGACCGCCGTACATGATTTCGCCAAATAAATAGCGTAAATTTTCCCAAGGTATCTTAGTATTGCCCTCGAGATAATTCAACAGTACCGATGCACTGATGGTCAAGTCGCCGACATTGAAGGGATATAACTATGTATTAGGAATGTGTTAACAAGATATTAGGTATAATAGATAGTAATAAAAAACCGTGGAATGTAAATATTTATCGAGAGGCGCGATGATCTTGACATATGTGTATAACTTGACGTATGTTTTTATATAATCAAAATTTTCTATTTTCTTTGCTTTATCATTTTTACGTATATTAAATCGATATATTCAAATCAAATTTATGTTACAGTTGGAACTTTTAAAATTTCCTGTAAATTAATACGGCACATAAAAACGTAGAATTTTAATCGCAAATTATAGATTATCTGAAACAAGCTTAAAAACGTCAAATTGGCGAATTTGTAACATTTAAAATACTGACCCTATTCCATCCTTGTGCCCCGAATTTTCTACGCTCTGCCATTGCAGCGTGATAATAACATAGGGTGAAGAGAATAGTTTTGAACTCGGTCTCCTTCGCGCAAGATTCCAATGTATCCTGGCTAAAATTGTCCAAGGCTTTGTGAATGTTGGCGCGCATTCCCGTTGGTGGTTCGTTGGTGATTTTTATGGCTGATTCTAGTATACCCTTCCATTTTGATTGTACCAAAATAATATACAAAACGATTGGAAATGTTAGGCAAATGCTTTGGAAATGATTAAGAAAATTTTATAAAATCCTTGTAAGAGAAACGCTCTCGGAAAAGTGTAACACAGGCTCAGATTTATGTAATTTAGAATTTACGTAATAGTGTAAATTTTACATTTTTTTATTATTATTTTGAATAAATTATTAATATTGTAGAAAAAAAAATTGATCGCCTTTCGGACAATCTCATCTCGTGTATTTGGAAGGTTTTGCTTTTACTTGTGGTATTATTGACGTGTGAGGGTCTTGGTTTGGTTCTGCACTAATATAAAGTCGATAATCTTTGTGTGGTTCTTTCGAAAGTTGTTCTATCTTCTTTTCCAGATTTGGCAACCAGTTCTTCACTAGATGAATGTTCTGAAGTATAACCCAGTGGCCCTCGCGCGCTGAGACTTCTATCGTCTCCTCCGCGATAGGTTCTTGACCTTGTCCTAATGATATATTGTGAAAATTTTGCGCGTTGAATGTGAAGCCGAGCTGTTTACCGAGTTTCTCGACATCCTACATGAAATCATTATTCCATTTTTTTATTTGTCATTAATTGCGTCGGGATACATTTTGAAGAATGTTTAAAATTGTGTAAAGTTGCATCAGGCGACATTTAATCCACTCTATAAAACTGAGTACTTGAATATACAATTAATTAGTCAAATCTACATTTAAAGATGCAGAAAACGTACTTTTAATGGATCGACACCTGGAGACAAAATGAAAAATACCGGCGTGCTTGCATTCGTTTCTTCGTATGTTTTTTCAAAAAGTTGCATTCGAAACTGCATAAATTTTGATCCCAATTTCTCTTCCACAAAGTACCTATGTTTGTTAAAGGGTTAACAGTTAAAGAGATTAGAGGGGAATGAGAAAGTAAATCGAAAAGCTGGATATATTTCGTATTTATATTAATATAGCACCGGTATTTTCATTTAAAAAGATAATTTATTTAAAAATCTAGCAAATTACCGTATAGCGTAAACCATTCGATCTAGTCTCACGCATCTCAGTATGCAAAGTTTTTGAAAGGCCGTTTTATTTTTCCATTCCTGAGGGAATTTTTCTCTCTCAGGTGTTTCCGATTCGACGAATGTTCTCCATCTTTTCGCGGCTCCATCTATATCGCGGTCTAAATTGCGAAAATTTTCCATTCCGCTCAGATACTTGATGCCACCCCAGCTAACATTACTCAGAAAATCCACCGGACTCGTGAGATCCGGTATATAAGGGAATCGCAAGAGAAAATCCATTTCCAATTGATCTACCTCTTTCGTTTGCATCAGAATCTAAATCATAATATTTATTTAATACATCCATATTATGTATAACATAAATAATTGATAAATATATTGGATAACTCCATAAATAATTTTTTTTTCCTAGAATACGTATGTATACAGCTTCTTAATAAAGATTTGTAAAAACTAGAAATACAGAAAAATGATTTCAAAGCGTTAAAGTGATACATAATATAAAGATAATTTAAGAGATTGGGCCAGAGAAATTATTTAGAAAAAAATATAATCAAAAAGATACACAAGATATGTATATATTATATTCATGAGAAAAATTAACGCAGCAAGTGTTTTCCGTATCGTAATTATGTGCTTTCGCAAAAGAAACAGGATAAGCACCTTTTTCTAAATAATCTTCTAAATAATTCCGTTGTCTATTTATATTATTTTTAAGGTTGTTTAGTACCTGAAGAGTTAGCTGGCATAAAAATATGAGCTTGTCACTCTCGAACAGTCCTCTACTGGTATATGTAAAAATCAAATACGTAACGCTATCGATCAAATTGGCGACGCGTTTACCGAGGGCGTCTACTGGCTCCGCAAATTTAATGGCATTTTGAAAGACCGTGTTGAATGCCTTGAGAGAAAACTGATACAACATGTTGATCTTGTTGAGATCGTTAAGGATGAAGTAGAGGAGGCTGGCTCTGGACGCTACCGGCCGGTAGGACTCTCGCGCCTCGTCTATCTTTGCGGCAGTCATCTTCGCCTCGATTGCCTTTGCCTCGATCTCACTGGCGGTCTTCTTCGTAGTTTCGAGATTCTCCACAAGAGCGACGTCACTCAGAATATCGGGACCCGCCGTCGCCAATCTTAATGATAAAAGTAAGTTTATGTAAAAATGTTTAATCAAAAGATCCATTTATTCTTTCCATTTCTTCCTTCGTGCTAGACTAATAAAACGAATGAAACAAGCAAACCAACTTTTTTATCAAGTTGAATTGCGAATAAGACAATTCAAATAAATTAAACAGTGCAGAATGATTGTGTTATTGAATTAAGAATGATTTGATTCTTGAACAAGATGATATTTCTTTAGAAAACCGATCGGAATAGTGAAGAAGAAACTTTTTTTTACGTTATCTCTATCTTTCTAACGCATGCTCGTTTCTTTTTTTTTTTTTTTTTTTTTTATTACATACCTATGCAACAGATCATCTTCCAACACTTTTAGCGTGATCTTGAACGTGTTCTGTTGAGTCGTGAGCTCGGCTTTGCTCGACTCCAACTCCGGACGCTCCGCTTTCACGACGGCACCTAATAGCTGCTCCTCCAAACCGTCTTTCGTAACCGTAAAATTGATGAGTGTAGTCTGAGCTTGCATCTCCGGCTTATAGTGAGGATTCGCTAGTTTTGTTTGTAAGATCAGACGAAAGCGTGGGTCATAATCCACTTCTTTGTCTCCCACCTTGATGGCCCTTTGTTAGCGTCGATTTTATTACAAGATCAATTTGGTCGAGTAGTTTTTACTGACGAGAGAAATGAATGCCAACGTACCTTCCCTTCTTTATTAAAACCTGGCCGAGGATTGGCTCTAGAACGGCATCGACCATTTCCGTGATACTTTCTAGCAGTACTATATCTCCATTAGCAATAGCGTGTTCGATTTTGTCGAGATAATTCTTTTGAGTTAAACGTAGCACTACCAAATTCTCCCCGTATTTATTCTTGATCCATTTGATCCCTTGTAATTGCGGATCAATTATTAGTGGCCATCTGGACGAATTTGTGAGTATCGTGGCATTTTCCGAAGACATTCTGTCCGTAGGTAAACCTATGTAAGGATACATTTAGTTGTTAATTAAAAATCAATCGAAAAGATTTAGTCGGATTTTCTTTTGTTTCTTTTATTCGCGGGAAATCGATTTGTTGATCATATTCGTACTCTACTGTGGAATATTCTATATCTAGGAATCGATATTATGCTTATTATGATAGAGATTTTCGCGCTTTTTACCTTCATTATTCCACTGAGCAATTTTTGCATCGTCAGTCATTAAAGACAATGGATCTAGGTCTGGCGTGTATGGTATTGGCACTTGCAGATTATTGAGAAACGGTAACCAGTATAAATTGATAAGATCCATTCTATATTTCTTCGTAAAACATCCCATATAAGAAATGAATGCCGTGACAAACAATACATTGCCCGGTAAAGTAATTCCAGATTTTTTTAACCTGTTTGGCCGTATCATAATTTGCGTTTAGGAACTCGTACAACATGTATCATTGATATTATCTCCAAGTTACGACATTAAAATAAAATTAATTGAATAAACATAAGTAGATTCGAATAAATTACATAATTAATACCTATGGACCAATGAAATCAATTATTATGGAAAGGGCATGCGTCATAAATTTTTATAATTAAATTGATGTTTGTTTAATTGAGCGTTGCTTTCGTTTATTCAAATAATTTTCTTTCCTAATTTACAGTTTTGTATAAAAACAAAGCTACGTACAGTTGTACAGTCTCAGCCCAACGAATATTCTCGGATGCCAGCCCGTTTATCAATCGATTTGCTAGATCTATAGTGAACGCAGTCGCATCCGCTTCGTCTTGACATCTTTGTTTCTCAGCTAAAGCTACGTTCATTTTTTCGCCCAGAACATCCAATACTTTTTGAAGCTCCTGTGCGCGCAAAAAACATCATTTTATTTTGATAAAGAAAAACGCAGAAAAATGGAAAAAAGAGACAAAGATTAGTCATTGCTGAAGCGAGCTTACCGCTAAACGGCTCCTCAAAGAATTCAATTTTTCCATAGCAACTTTGAATTCGACATTTGCCTGAATGAGCGCTGCTCTCAAAGGTTTTACATTCTCATTGATGTAATGAAACACCATGATATTTTTCACCCAGCTGCAAAGTCCCGCTGCCGCTTGCGATTTTGAATATATAACATCCGGATCAAAATCTAATCATATGCGTATTATTTTAACATACTTTTTATCAAACATATTACACATATAGTTTTTATACATACTTATATACAGAAGATATATTTACCACATTTTAATTGACAAAATATTTGCGCTAGTGTTGATGATTTAACGATAAGATTACCTTTCTCACTGATGTACGGCTGAATCGCTTTTACAACTTCCGGATGTATGTTCTCTTTATCATAATTACGCAATTCTGACATAAATGCATCAATAGATCCCATTATAACTCTGCAAGCCTTCCAAGTTCTATCTTTCGGAATTTTTCCTTTCGGCGAAAATAGAATGAGCACGGCCTGAGCGACCATAAGCACGGCATCCGGCGGAGTTCCGAAAGACTTCAATTCGGTTAAGTTGTTCTGTAATGATGTAAAAATTATTTGTTCCATTCAGCTGAAATATATTTCAATTTAGAATAAAGAAAAATAATAATAATAATTTATGTGATAATTTGGCATATTTTTAAAATTTGTCTTATGCTATTATGTCATAATTTTACAATAATAATTTTATTTTTTCCCCTTGAATTTTATGTCATGTAATTTGGTAAATTTTGTATTTTTCACTGTTTAATTATGATATAAAGTTCGCAAGTTCGTTAACCTTGTTCAAAGTATCGAGCGCAGCTTCGGCCCGTTTCACCGCTGGCTCCGCACGGGCCAAGTCTTCATCACAACGTTTTTGATTTGCAAATATTACCTCCTTGATTTCCGCCACTTTTGCTTCTTCCTCAGTTACTGAAATTCCGTCGTGTTATTTCAGTATTATAATATATTATTCGTAATTGTCCAATGTTGTTATCTTACCGATAGCTTTTTCTGCTTCCGCTTTTACATTTTCCGCGCGTACTTCCGTCAATATCTTATCAGTTATCTCACTCTTTTTCTTCAGTTCGATCTCTTGAGCCATCAGAATAATTTTTAATTTGTCGGCCTACTTTGCAAAAAAGTAATTTAGAGGATTTTATTGCTATATATTCGATTATTTTTATAATAAATGTTTAATTTGGCGTTAATCTTTTGATTTATCTCACTTGAATGGCGCACGATTCGAGTTTCACCAATCCATCAGTGAGACGCGAGATCATTGCTTCCAAATCGTGTGATTTTTCTGTTAACAACTTGGAATATAAAGAAATCTGCTCAAGAAATGACTTGGGTGTCGTGTAGTTGTACCTTCTTTCGTTTTGCAAATATATCGCCGACATATCATTAACGCTTGTGTGAACGAAAGACATGAAGAGCGGCACGGAAGTTCGATATTCAGCCGGTAATTCTTTTAACTCCTGGTTAATAAAGATTAAAGAGTATTGCAGATTAAAACTTTCCTAGGAATACAACGTAGAATAAGATTTCACTTTGGCATTATAGAAATAGTCTGCAATGAATTATAGCAATGTGTTATCTTGAACATGTGTTTAGCGAATTTCAAAATATTTCTAAAATTGCATATTATATTAGATTTTTTAAATTTTAACAAACAAATTAGTAACGACAATTAATTAATAACAAATATATCTTTTATACATATATATGTCTTACTTAAGATCTTTAACTAATTAATTTTGATAAATTTGTAATTGTTGAGAGAGAGATAGATAGAGAGAGAGAGAGAGAGAGAGAGAAAGAGTTTATGGAAACGTACCTCTAGAAATCTTGTCGACACGGATTCCAACGCTTTCTGCGGCCAATCTTGAAACCAGTCGATTGCAGTGCAATTTACTATTGCGGGGAATTTCCTGGCCCTTTTTCGAAGGGTCGCTCCTACCGGTGAGAAGCACAAAACACATCTCAATTGCCGTCGTACGCGTTCGATAAAAAATTTCCAGCAATTCTCTTTCGTATCAATTAATCCAGTTTGCTTAATCTATATAATGATTGACGAACAATATTAATACACAGTCTGTCTCTAAATATTTAAAAAATTTTCGGATTTAACTTAGAAAATAATGTAAAATAGGATAAAATAATAATTTTTTTTCTGTGTGACTTTAGGTACGCACAAATA